CATAAATGACATTTTCTAGACAAAAAGGACACCTCTTAATCAATAAGTATTATTTTATATCATAAATCCGATTACGTTTTATCGATATTTTTTTAGTATGTATATTTTTGTAAATTTTATTCTTTGTAAATATTTTTTTTATATTAATTAGTTAGAGCTGATAGAATTTTAATTTAGTGTCCCCTATTAGTAGGCCTTACATGGCCAGCTAGAAGACCTGACACTGAAATAAAGTTTACCATCATCATCATCATCATCATCATTCATTCGAAAATCGATATTTTTATAGTCACGAAGGGTTGTTTTTCATATAGAACATTATACCAAACACTTTCTCAAGATTTATTTCGGCTTAGGCAGGGTAAACAGTGTTAGAAAAAGTTCTTTTGCACATATCTATTGGAAAGTTTCTATAAAAAAGCTGGTTACATTAAAACTAACAATTTTAGTTAGTATTGTAGTATTGTAGTCGGTTTTGTTAGCAACATTCACGAGGGACATCACGCCAACTCTAAAACACTAAAAATATAGAAGAGGATAATAAAAGCTAAAACTACAAATAAAAACTAATATAAAAACTAATAAAAGCAGACCTAAAGGACTTTACTTTTAAAAAAAAAAGGGAGAGAGATTGAATGGTGACAATTTCTTTCGGGAGTTTGTTCCATTTAGTTATTGTCCTGGGAAAGAAAGAAAATCTAAAAATATCCTTGCGTCCTTTTGGTCCAATAAATTTAAAACTATGGCTTCCTAGCGTTCTCCTTTCTCTATTTGGAATCAAGTAGTCCTCCCATTTCCCATCGAGGAAACCATAGCACATCTTCATTCTATTTCAACTTTAAAAAAAAACATGCTTGATCTAAATTGTCACCCGTTGAGTGTTATTTTGGCTACTCTTGCTACTTTTTTAGGTAGTAGTTCAGCTATTTCTTCTTCGCGAAAGGTGTGAAATGTCCCACCACTTTCTCCAGCTACGCCAAAATAACTGAGCTATCGCGCCTTTTGCTATCCCTTTTTCTGTCGATATCAGAACAGTTGGCGTCAATTGTACTGATATCAGCAAACGTCTTCCAAATTTGGTCAACAATAATGAAAGGTATGAATAATTAGCTAGGGAGATATAAGCCACCCTAATAAGCCAATCACAAACGGAGAAATATTTTGAATGAGTAATTAAAAATTACTGTGCCAGTTTCGAAATTTGTTTGGAAAAATTATTTGTGAATGTTGGGAAATAAAGGTTACAAATAAACGCCTTTTAGAGTGACATGATATTAGCTGAAATCCGAGACCAAAGTACAGTAAAGAAGCAGTAGTACTCCATCGAGGCGCTATAAAGTCGATGAAAACTATACATTTTTTCTCTCGGTGATATGGTTCATAAATAGTTCATAAAAAGTACCTCCAGGTTTTTACACTTTCAATATGTCAACTTGTCTCCTCCGCGTCTTGAGAGCGCGGGTTTGTTTTCATTTGGGGGCCCACTTTGTGCCCGGAATACCTATGTCTGAATCGTTCGGGAATAAACCAAGAGTACAGGTTTACAAATCCTTGCTTGAAAGCTGAATTACGCATGCCGTACAAAACAGGATTACATATACTGTTCAGATAACCAAGTAGCAACGAAATAGTGTCTATGGGGCGTGGTAAGGGCTGTGGATAGTACACATCAAAAAACATGGTTATTGCGAAAGGTGCCCAGCAAATTATGAACAAAGCAAGCACAAGAAGGAAAGTGTTCGTCATCTGCTGTTCTTCCGGTGTCAGTCGAGGCTTCTGGGATTTCGATTGGACACTCGGATGAGAATTGAAACGCGTCAGAGGAGACTTGTTTTCCATTGTTTCTACTACTTCGTCTTCGTTAACGCTGCAGCCGTCTTCGACACTGTTTGAGTTGTTGCAGACCTCAATAGCATCTGGGTTATCGTAATTTTGCACTTCAATCTTGAGATGAACATTCTCATAACTGTCGAACTTAACCATGCATGGGGCTAACTTACTCTGCATTTCATTTGCTCCCTGAGTCTCCAGCTGCCGGGGCTTGGGAGTAAGATTATTCCTCGAAACTTTAATTCTAATGTTTTTGGTAAAATTCAAAATATTATAGTAAGAAAAAGCCATAACCGAGAGAGGACCAAAAAAGCAAACTGTAATCATAAAATACATGAAGTACACGTTCGAGGGCCAGTAAACGAAACAGTAGGATTTTCCCGGGATGAAGCGATATTCTGCCCAACCGAACAGTGGAGGGGATGCCAGAGACATTGAGACAAACCAGACGCCTGCCGCGTAGAGCAACGCTTTTGTCTTTGTAAAGTTGATGGTGTATGTGTTCCACTTGACGATGTAAAAATAACGGTTAATGGCGATCATGCCGAGAGACATTACAGACGCTATGAACGATAAAATTGTGAAATATCCGAGCACCACGCAGGCTGTGTGTCCGAAGACCCAATGTTCTTTGACAATTGTTACCATGGTAACTGGCATGCTTAGCACTGACACCAAGATGTCGGCGGCAGCCAGGTTTAAAATAAACATGTTGGTGATGGTGCGAAGATTCGGGTTCTTGTAGACGGTAAGGAATAAACTCACGTTCCCAATAAAAGCTGTCAAGCAAATAAAGCAAAGGATTGTCACCTCGGAGATCGTCACTAGGATACTGAGCGTCATTTTGGACCGACGACGGATAGTACACAAACAGATCAATCGTTCTTCGTGGAAGGAAAACCGCTCAAGCGTTCTAGAAATTCAAAAACAAAACAGCCTGGCGAGTGAAGTTGTCTTTCTCTTCTCGACCTATGAACAAGCAACGTGTTTTAAAAATGATCATTTCTTTTGGTTTCAATAATTTAATTAACAATCAGATAGTGTAAGAAAAAAGTGTGAATGGGGAAATTTCCTATATTTTTCAAGCAAATATTTTAGCCTATTTTGCAATAAGACACACCT